ATACAACCAGACATCAACCGGAATAAGCCAAGCGGCTATCAAGCTGAATCGGGAGGACAACACACAGAAGTGTGTCCTAGAATAAGGCAATCTAACGCACTCACTACACAACAAAACTAAAAACTCCCACAAGAGAGAATCAAACTTCAAAAAGAGAAGACACATACTCCTAAAAAGGAGAATCACGCTTCTAAACAGAAGAATCAACACCTATATATCAATATATCATATCCCGTCAACTTCAATTTTTCTCAGTTCAGAAAATCTTTTATTTCCGTGGAGATGTTGTCGGGTTGAATTTTGATTTATTATAAAGAAAAAAACAATCCACTAAAGAATAGTTTTGGCTGAACAAATTATTCCGTAACGAATATACCAACAATAATGTTATGTTCCAACGATAATCTGATGTTCATAACTTATGCTAAAAAATTTCAATAAATATATTTGTTCAAATTTTTCAGTTGGATTGTGAAGATCCTCAAGTATTTCGTGCTAGGAGTTAATTTTGTGCTTATCTTGTATAAATGTCTCGACTTTATTTAAAGTGAGATGATTTAGTTAAGAAAGCTCGGTTTATCTATCTAGGATCACTTAGCTAGCATGTTATCTTTTTGTATTTTTGTTTTTTCTTGAGTTATGGACACTCCGGTCAACCAAAGTTTCAATCTTTTCTCTAAAGTTTGCATCTTTCATTATTTGCTCTTAATTTCTTAGCTTAAATTCGTGCAAATCACCCTCACTCAAGCGAGTAGCATGTTTAAGACATTGTTTTCGGTTATGCGAATTGACGACTAGATAGTGAACGAAGCTCCAAATTATGAAGACGACCCGAGTGAGATCATTCGGTCGTACTCGGCTAAAGAAACTACAAACATTTATTAACCTAGTATCTTATTGCTAGCATATATTCTCTTTGTTTATTTTCATTTTCATCAAATCAAGGGACTCCAAATAACCAAGATTCACATCTTTCTTTCAAAGTTTGCATCTTTACTTCATTGCTCTCTATTCTTAATTGTAATTAGCTTAAAATCACCCTCAATCACCACGCTTAATATGCTTAGGACTTTATTTGCTATTTTTGTGCTTTGAACATCTAATACTTAGACGAAGCTCTGAACCGTCTTCCTTTGAGACACAACTCGAGTTTAAAAATTCCCCAAATCAATCGCATAGAATGTCAAGGACTTTCCGTTTTTGTGCGTTTGACAAATAATTAAGTGAACGAAACTCTAAATAGTATTTCTTGAGAGACGACCCAATGTTCGAATAGAACTTGATTGTCAATCTATTCCCCTAAAAATCTTCAAAAACACTCATGATGATTATACACTTTTTAATAACAAATTAGTACTTAATTAATGTTTGATGTGTTTCAATATACTATTATTGGAAACTACCATTATAGTGGATATGAAAATAAAATTTTGCCTACACTATATAAGTGTGTATGTAGGCATAGGCATCCCCTAGTCTAGTACCATCGCCATCACCACTAGTACTCTTCCTCATTTCCACATTTATAGTACAACATGTGTATTTTCCACAACAGTACTTTTAGCAACCTTCACTACTCTCTCTCTCTCTGTACAATCTCTCAACCAATTCATAACAAAAAAGGAATAATTTTATAAAGCTTCTTAGTTTGATCAAGTTCCCCACCAAAACCTAAAACAACCATAAACCCATTGCATTTACAAAGCTTCCGGAAAAAAAAAAAAAAAAAAAAAATGTTCCCCCAACCAAGCTTCTATAACCCCTTCGGCCAGCCATCGTTCACCGATCGCCAAATCCCGAGCCACCCGAGACCCGATCACGACCCTCCATTCCCCTTCACCTTCCCGCCCTTTCTCGACGATCACGATCTTCCCCTCAACCAAATACTTCTCCACAACCACCACGAAAAAGCGATCCCTCCTCCCCCAAAGACGGAAGAAACGGCTTCCGGCCGTCATCTGCCGAAATCCGGCGAACGGCCGCCGGTTAGGAGGCCGAGGAACTGTCTCGGAGCTGTGCCGAGGCGGAGGGCCGGTAAGAAGGATCGCCACAGCAAGATCCGCACGGCCCAAGGGATCCGTGACCGTCGGATGAGGCTATCCCTCCAGGTGGCGCGCAAGTTTTTCGATCTCCAAGACATGTTGGGCTTCGACAAGGCTAGCAAGACAATCGAGTGGCTCTTCACCAAGTCGAAAAGGGCGATAGACGAGCTTGCCGGTGAAAACCGGCATCTCTATAATAATAATAATAATAATAATAATAATAATAATAATAATAATAATAATATGTCGGGTAGTGATGTGAAGAGCGAGTCGTTGGCTTCTGAGTGTGAGGTTGTGTCAGGATTGGTTGAGGAGAATCATGTGCCGTCATTTAAACCGGATTCGAGATCCGATTTGAGGGAGAAGGCACGGGAGAGGGCTAGGTTCCGGACGAGGGAGAAGATGATGGTCAAAATGCTCGGGGACGATTTTGTCGAAAAGTCAAACCCTAGCAAAAACAATGAAGATGTTGAGAAACTAGGGTTTTTGAATGGCCTGATGTTTGAGGGTGGTGATCGGGACTCGAATATCGATAATCCGGATAGGGTTTGCTTGTATGGGAATTTTGGTAACTCGGTCGAGGATGTGGGGACAATCGAGAAGTTTCTCGGGAGCTCGTCGAGCTCGCATGCATCTTACCCTAATTATTTCGACGGTGTCAACAAATCGTTTTCGGGGTATTTGGAACCAAATAGTTATAATTTCATGGGATTTTTTGGGAATTGGGATATGCTGAGTAATGAAAGTACAAATTTGACTCCATATGGTATCCCGAACGATGCTTCGTTGAGAGGAAACCCTAGCTCGATTTACTCGGCAACGACTCCGTGATTTCAACGTTCGTTTTTCAATCAAGAAAATTGGAGGTATTTCTATGGAGAATTGGAGATCTAATTCTCTTTCTAGACTTTTATGTCATGAGGTATGTATTTGTTTCTTTATATTGTTATGGAATATTGTGGGGAAGTTTGAATTTGGATTTGTGCGGTTAGATTTTACTGTATCATCAATTGGAGGGTAAATTTATGTGTGGCACTGTTGTTCATCAAGGCAAATAAATAAACCAACGGCTGCTTTGGATATGATAATTAAATGTCAATATTTAAATTATATTGGTAATTATTTTTTTTAATAATGTTTTCTTCTTTTGCAGTTGATTTTCATTCTCATGTTGTTTTGGTTAGAATTGCAAGGTAAATTTAAAGATTTGGAATTTGAATATTGTTTTTGCATGCTGGTCTTGTTTATTAATATT